TTATTTTTTTCCCACTTTACCCATTACAATTATCCTGAGTGTCCATTCAGGATTTACAATGTTTCGGTACATGTTTTTTTATACAGAGTTATGTTGTACATTTTTTTCACAAGATACATGTATACAGGGAATGTTGTATAGTAAAGTGGACAGCGTTTATGCTATTGTTCCCCACAGGCACAAAATATATATTATTATTGTAGCGTTTTTGCCGACTCCAGTTATTGCGGCACCATATGTAGCGTGGCTCAGCCGGGATCAGTTATGTCTCCCTTTTTGGTCGTACCCTTCACACGGGCTTGATAGGGCCCGTGCGTGCGTTGTGTAATTCCCCATCGTCGTCTACACCCGACGTTAGCTCGTAAAGGAAAGGCTTGCCGAATACGTGAAGTTCAGAAAGAGGTTCGAAGATAGAAGTAGAGTGACAATATGACGGGACAAACCCGACTGTTTATTGCGGGTTGACACCCATACGCACCACTTATGTAGTTCACTCACAGGCCGAGAACCGATGCTCGGATATACGTACAATAAGCGCGGCGTCACCGTTACTCGCTCTCTCTCTCCACTGCAGGTCTCTAACTGTCAAGAACTGTGAAGAACTGGGAAGAACTGTCTCTCTTCCTCCACTCGCAACTCTCAACTGTTTCACTCCTAACTCCGCTGTTCAACCGCTGGCGTCTACACTCTTTGTTTGATTCCGACTGCTAACTCGCACTCTCCGACGACTGTTTTTCTCTCTCTCCCTCTCTCTCTCTCCTCTCAACGGTCTCTCCGACACTCGCACGCGCTTATATTCTACATCATCACGTGACGTCGTGACTGATACAGGAATGTTTCCCAGAGCGTTCTACATCATCACGTGACGTCGTGACTGATACAGGAATGTTTCCCAGAGCGTTCTACATCATCACGTGACGTCGTGACTGATACAGGAATGTCTCCCAGAGCGCATTCCTTTCTCGAAGCCCACCAATCGCTTCTCTGCTTACCTACGTCACACTACACGTGATTCTTCCCGATTGGACCACTCCGCCCCTCTCTGTTGACACGCCCCTTTCTTACCTGCTTACTCCCTCACAACCGTCAGCTCGTCCTACCATTCACATCTCCCCCCGCCAAATATCACTCTCTAAACCAATGTATATACGCATACAATTGCTACACTAAATATCACGTGGGCTAGATATTACACACTCGCAGCGCGCGGTGCATATCACCGCCGCGGTTGCGCACGCGCGGTGTATATGCGTCCATGACTTGCTGCGGCGCTGTATCTATCCTCGCGCCTCACGGCCGCCGTTACAATTATGTTACATTAGCAACATGCCAAACATCAAACCAGTGAATAATGTAGGGCCTGACTTTCCTCATATGCTTCTTCACTGCAACATAGCGATCTGTTGTCAACATCAGTGGTACAACTCCCTTATCTTCCAGAAAGTCAATGCACTGAATGAGGCCCTCCAGTTCCACTGCATTAGAATTCCGCACCTCACTACTCTGTAGGGAAACCAAATCGGAAAGGCTCATCTTGTGGCTTATTTGGCACACACTAAAAAATGTTGAACA